TTTTTATTCATACTGAAAATACCTTATTAAAGATTGTACATATGTGCTACGGATAAGTATTTTCTTGATTTCGAAAAGGAAATCTAGGTGGCCGCTTTAAAATCCTATTTTTGCAAATACTTGCATAGTTTTTGTTGAAAATGAAATTTGTGCCAATATATTTTTCAATGATACCAATAAAAATATTGGATGGTTTTTAGATTATCAATAAAATTACTCCCTTGAAGTTGGTCATTGTTTCCCCTAAAAATTTCCATATCGCCGATGTTTCTCAGGAAAACACAATGTTAAATAATAAGTTAATGCATAAGTTTTCTTCATCATAAATGGTAAAATCAGCAATTTTCAAGTGAAGTTGCTATCGACAAAACTTTTGTAACAAATGTAACAAATATACATTGTATGTTATGAAAAATGCCGTATGTTGTCCTTAAGTTTTATTTAGAGATACGGGAGAGGCGCCGTTTTATACCTGTCCGCAATAGAAGTTCGTAAATACTCAGAGAGGGGCGGGGCGTTATGCTTGACTTAAAATCGTTTAACTTTGTGAATCTGCTTTTGTCATTTTAAACACGTTACTGTGTTGACGTACTGTTGTAGTTCTACAACTGGTAACACGTTTTCTTAAACTCTATTTTCTGTATTTAAGATTTACATTTCATTCGTATATTTCAAATCTATAAGTGTGCAAACATGCATATGTATTGCATGCAATGGAAGATACGAACTTGTGAATTTGTTGTCGTTTTAGATGTTAGGTCAGTTTATACGATCTATATGTAAACTTGTTATATAAAGGCGGGAACCTTCAATTAAAAGATTGAATTAAGAGACATATTATGTGCTATGCACGGGTACAATAAAAAATGGTAGACATACAAGTTCGCATTTTCAAAAGTAATTTTAGAAAGGAACACTTTACATGTCTGGAATTTTGGCAACGAACGCCCTCCATAATAAATATTTCTAAAAATCATTTGTTGAGGCTGTGACAAAAATTAATTTCGGTGCTAGGTTGAGTGCATTTCAGTTCTTACATAAACTCGTTTAAAATACATTTCTAGCTACCATATAGATCTTTATGATAATCAAAATTTATCGCTTAACGATCTACATGTAGCTAAAGTTGTTAAAAACTTAAAATGATTACGATGTTTTAGTAAAGGTTTAGAAACGTTTTCATTTTGCGTGCGTTTTAGCGTGCGTATATCGTTTAGCGTATTTCGTTTAGCGTATATCGTTTTGCGTGCGTCTGCGTATTTCGTTTCGTTATAAATGCGTGCGTATATAACGTGCGTTCGTATAGCGTGTAACGTGCGTTGTAGGAGCACATTTGTCTCGGAGCACATTTGTCTTACGTAAGACCAATGCGGTCGCATTTGTCCCACATGAGACAAATGGGACCTCAAATGTCTACCCAAAAAAAACTCATTTGTGTGACAAATGTGCTCCGATCAAGTTTTTTAAGGGACAAGAAAGCACATTTGTCTCATGTGTTTTTAAGGGACAAGAAAGCACATTTGTCTCATGTCATTTTTTATGAATTATTTGTCACATTATTCCCACGGCAGAAATTCTTTTTTTGAATCGAGTTTCGCCGTTTTACCTCATGTCAAGTGTAATCATCAATAGGTTTGCTTATGCTTTCTTTATGAAAACCTTAAGTGAACTAATAATCATAATATCTCTAATTCAAGTAATTGTTTGGCTTAACCTGAAGGCATACACTGAAACAAATTAAATCCCGTTTACGATAGTACAATGGTGACAGCGCGGTGGCACGATGTTACGTTGATGAAAACGCGATGGTGCGATGGTGAAAACATAATGATACGATCGTGAAACAACGACTGACGATGGTGAAACAACGAAGGTTCGATGATGAAAACGTGATGATACTATGGTGAAAGACGATGTTACGATGGCGAAAATACGATGGTAAGATATGATGAAACTGCGATGGCATGATGATGAAAACGCGATATTATTTTCTCTATCGTGTCATCGCATCATCGTGATTTCACCATCGTGTCATCGTGTTTTAATCTTCGTACCATCTCAATTTCACCTTTGTACCATTGCGCATAGCTGTTCAGGGAGTCAAAAATGTTACTTATGTCCAAACGGAACACCGTAATCGGTTGATATTGAATGATACAATATCGTGAATCGTTTCGCATCTCGCCGAAATATCGCGTCTCGCTTCGCATCTCGTTCGTCGACGCGAGACAAGAAATTGATTCCAGGTCATATACCGCTAAGTAGTATTCCCTTTATAGTCTACATAAAATCACCTAAAGGCCCATTATGGCTGAGAAATGCTTTCATTTGTATTCCTTAAAAGCTTTGTATTTTTGATATACTTTTATAGCTCCAAAAAAACTCATTGGCTAATTACCTAAAGCATTTTTCATCTGCTGCTTTTTTGCAGTTTGTACAGTTGAAGTAATTTAGAATTTTGTATTGAAGTCAAAATACTACATTGTTTACATTTTGCCACTTTTATGACGCATTATTTCACATTTATCGCGAATTTCTTTAGATTACAAGCATCTAACTTCCTCAGAAATCATTATTTGAATATAAATAAATTCATACTTGTTCTATTTAAAGAAGTAAAAAAATTTATTCATTTCTGAAATCTCGTTGTACGGGATACTTCGACATTGCGAGATCTCGTGTTACAATATCGTGCCTCGCTTCGTGTCTCATCGGAATGTCGCGTCTCGCACGATTCTTAGTGGTCCGATATTCCATAATTATGGGATTACCCGGATTATTTTAGTAACTCATACATGTTGTAAGTGCTTTTTCAATGGCGGATCTGAAAGCCGAAATTCTTGGAAAATGACGATTTTTACATACATATATTTCTGATGAAAACAAAATACGTGTGTTATGGTCTTCTTATTTCCTTAAATAAGGGCCTCCGTGGCCGATTGATTAAAAAAAAAACACTTGTCCCTAACCGCTGTAGGTTCGACATATACACGGGGCATTGAACTATTCATCGAACTTTGCGAGGATCCCGGTCAGTGTCCAAATGCGGAATAGATATCCACGTGCGCACGTCATTGCTATCGCGTGCGCACGTAATAGTATCGCGTGGCCACGTAAGTGCTCACGTAATAAATAAGAAAATTTTATGTCTCCTTTATGCCACCGTAGATACTACCGTATTTTTGCTAAGAATATTCCTAGTGCCATAAATCACGTATAAAACTTTAAGCATTGAAAAAAAAGGTATCACTATTAATAACGATAAGAATAGACTTGCTGCATTTGTGTTTAGGTTCTGGATGATGCACTTGTAGAAATTTTAATTGTGACATGCAGAACAAGGATATTCTTTAATATATGACTCCTATGCAATGGCAGGAAGTTTTAGACTGACCGGAAGTGACCTAAAAACGGTATTATAAATACAGAAACCACAGAAAAATGGCTGGTAGCCAAAAACAGATGGGCATAATTATTACCTTTTAAGAATTTTATGGAAAAATGTGAGACAAATGTGCTTCGAGTGTCCTTTCTATTGTGTGTCGAACACATCTGTCTCATTTCCAATTTGTTGCAAATATAAATGTTTACGAACACATCGGTCACACTTTGTGAGACAAATGTGCTCCGAGACAAATGTGCTCCTACACTGCACGCCTCCAGATGAGCAAAAATTTTCAAGAAAATCAATATTGAGAAAATGTAACATGCAGAACAAGGATATTCTTTAATATATGACTCCTATGCAATGGCAGGAAGTTTTAGACTGACCGGAAGTGACCTAAAAACGGTATTATAAATACAGAAAACAAAGAAAAATGGCTGGTAGCCAAAAACAGATGGGCATAATTATTACCTTTTAAGAATTTTATGGAAAAATGTGAGACAAATGTGCTTCGAGTGTCCTTTCTATTGTGTGTCGAACACATCTGTCTCATTTCCAATTTGTTGCAAATATAAATGTTTACGAACACATCGGTCACACTTTGTGAGACAAATGTGCTCCGAGACAAATGTGCTCCTACACTGCACGCCTCCAGATGAGCAAAAATTTTCAAGAAAATCAATATTGAGAAAATGTACTAAAATTTAAGAAAGACAAAATCATTCAAGATTCAAATGATATTTTACATGATCTATGTAGTTTTAGACTGAAATATGGTGATACAATGCTGCATTATATCACCATATTTCTACTGCGTTACTAACGCAGTAAGGGTTGTTTTTGCATATGCAGACAACTTTTTGGTAATTTTCTTGGATATTAAGTACCGATTGCAATGTATGAATTGCTTTATTTGCTCATCTCACAATATTTTACTTTTAAATACATTTCCAAAATTTTCATGAAAATTAACATGAATCTGGAGGCGTGCTGCTGTAAATAAGAAAAAAATTTAGATATTCCAACAAATGACACAAGAGATAATAACTAATATGCTTTAAAGCGAACCATGTACAGTAGAAAGTTTCACAATGTGTTTGAATATTTTTGCATACATTAAATGTTTCGTCGATCACAATATTAATGAGAATAATATGCAAGATATCTCTCGCACACTAAATAGACATTTTCTGCTTGATATCTAATTTTACTAAAGTGATATCAATTTGTTTTCATTCTTACATGAAATATTGTATTGATACTACATCGCAGCTAATACGTTGCTTAATACTGTATACACATATTTAATATTCCTATCAACTATAATTATGATTTTTGCTTATCATTATGTTTAGTAAAAGAAAAAACAAAGGATTAATCAGAGAGAGAAAGAGGGGGGAAGAGAGGGGGTCAAGGGGGTGTAATGAGAGAGAACTAATTAATATACAGTATATACATGTTGATGAGTACACAGCATCAGCTGTATCGCAACAATTACCTTCAGCTCCAGGTATAAGAGCGATATTTCAGTTTGTTACACTTCCAGATGTTAAACTTATCTGGAACTTTTCTGTTCTTGAAACATTTATATCGTTACAAAAATACACCAGTTGAACAAACATTACAGCGAGATAGATAATATGTCAGTATAGTTTAACTTGATTTACGTGCCATGCTTTATGAAGAGTAACCAAGAGAGAATACGTCTGGCCTATTTGCTATTTTGTAAGCAAATGTTTTATATCTGCATATTAAACAGTGTATGAACAGTTTATACAATGAGTTAATTAGTGTAAATATTTGTTTCAATGATGATGAATTTCATTATAAATGGTGGGAATATTATGTAGCGAATAAAGCCGCTGTGAGAAGGATTATTTGCTTAAGTTGAAAAAATGCAAGCAGTTTTCGAAAGCGGAAAACAAAACTCCATGACTTTGTTCAAAATGCCTTGTTAGAACAATTTTAAGTGGACACATACTTCATGAAGATTGGGTATCAAATAGGTCATTGTGTTTACTGCAATAAGTCGCAAACATTTAACGAAAATGTGTGAAACAAATGGCGACTTAGACAATGTTACTTTAGCAATGAGGGAGAATCCGGTGGATGTTTTAAATTCGTCTTGCGGAAATATAACACAAGATGGCGGCTACGCGGGAAATTCTTCACGTGGTGGTGGTAACGGCAGAAGTTTCGCTAGTTATCAAAAATTTTCATGTGGTTACTGCGACACAGCATGTATATACAGCGCCATTGAGACATTGTTTATCATTGGAATAGTGGCAAACATGTTTGTTATAACACGAGTCGTTCGTGATCGGAAGTTACGTGACCCGACATTTGTTGCTATAGCAGCTTTAGCTATTTCTGATTTATTGTTTCTTACTCTAAATCTGACAACATCATTTGAAAGAGTTATCTTATCTGTCACGTGCTCATCTCCAGTTATAATTAGTTCACCATATTATATTCTGAAATCCGTTTTCTGGTTCTCCGCAAATACACACGTGGCTTTGCTGGCAGTTTTGAGGTATATTACGTTGGCTTATCCTTTAATAGCTAATGCGTTTCTAACAATTAAAAAGGTGATAATATCGTCTGTAGTTGTGTGGATAATTGGAACAATAATTACAGGAAGTCTAACAGCACTTATTGGAGCACGAATTATTCTGGCTGGACGATCCCAGGAATTTTTGCTATTTTTATGGCTATCGGTTTACTTTTTACCATTGATTATAATATGCGTTCTTCATATTTTGAAAATATTCCTGGTCAAAGGTTCCATAACTGTCACAACAACTGAAACTACCCGGATGTCGATACAGCGCATGTCAAAAATAGTTATTGTTGTTATCGTAATGGCGGCTGTTCTTCCATTACCGAGACTTATACATAAATGCTTAAAACTTGCTGGACGAGATGTATATCCACCTAGTGATTTTCGAACACATTTTGGTGAAATTGCGGATTGTTTATTTCTTATAAACAATTTCATCAATCCGTTCATTTATGGATTTATGTCTGAAAAGTTTCGCGGAAGCTTAAAGGCGATGTTCTCTTGTTTACCTGGGGTTAATGAGGACAGTATTGTCACGTCTGATACACCATTGTCATCAAGAAAGATGAATTACAATCTAGGGGAAATGCCGAGAAAATACAGTTACGCTGATAGTTTGGACAGTGTTAATGGTGTGTAACTAAACTGATATCTTATTGTTGATATTCTTTAATGGTATCAACATATATATCTATACCGTGTGCTACTATATATAATAACACAATACAAACAAAGATATCGTTATAAACAGTATCATATGTAAAGTGATATAATGTGCTACAATGTAAATAGACTAATGTATGATTGATATCAAATGCTGAAATACTGTGCTACAATTTAAATTGACTAATGTATAATTGATATCAAATACTGAAATAACGTGCTACAATGTAAATAAACTAAAGTATAATTGATATCAGTACTGAAAAAATGTGCTACAATGTAAATTAATTGAAATATAATTGAAATCAATACTGTAATAATATGCTACAATGTAAATAGACTCAAGTATAATTGATATCAAATATTGAAATAATGTGCTGTGCTATAATTTAAAGACATTTTCTACAGTTTTATGAAAATTTAATCCTTTCATAGAATTTTCTAAATTTTTTGTATGGTTAGTAAAATTTAATGGCAAATTCAAAAATAAAAATAAAGATTTCTTGTAAAATGGCAGTTTCCATGGTAACCGTATATATCAAAACTGTCAAAATAGCCAAACTGTGTTATAACAAATAGAAAATGTATAAGATAGCTTAATACACACAACAAGCATTGTTAAATGCAAAGATAACCTTATCCAATGATTCTGTATAAAACAAATGATAATCTCAACATATTTCTTTAAAAAATGAGTTTTCCATGCTTGTAAACTGAAAAAAATGAGAAAAATAAACATGTTTTCTGTGAATAATTAAAGATATTGAAACATTTCTTTCATAGGATTTTCTAAAATTTATGTATGTTGTGTAAAATTTAATGACAAATTCAAAAATAAAAAGAAAAATATATGTTGGCGTGTTGGATTTTTTTAAAAATGGCAGTTTCCATGGAAACCGAATACCTCAAAACTGTCAAAATAGCCCAACTGTGTTATAAAAATGTATAAGACAGCTTATTACACACACAATAAGCATACTTTTACACAAAACTTGCATTATCTAAGGGTTCTGTATAAAACAAACGATAATCTGAACATATTTCTTTTAAAAATGAGTTTTTCATGCCTCTTAACTGAACAGAAAATGGGAAAAATAAACATAAATTCTGTAAATAATTAAAGCTATCAAAATATTTCTTTCATAGAATTTTCTACATTTTTGATATATCAAGAAACATTTTATGGTGGCTTCAAAAATAGAAATAAAAAAATGTTGATGCGTTATTTTTCTTTGTAAACGGGCAGTTTCCATGGTTACCGCACATGCCAATTGTCAAAATTACCACGCTTTCTTAAGAAATATCAGTGCTATACTAAATATATTGTCATATAAACAACAAAAACATGTTGTTATATAAAGTTCTATTTCTTTTGATGTTATATGAAGTAAATGATACTGAATATGTTTTTAAAACAAGTTATATAAAGCCATATTATTTCTTTACTTGACTAACATACCCGAACAGTAAGCAAGTATTCAGAAATTTACAAAGAAAATAATGAAAATTGGAACATTTCTTAGATATTATTTTTGTTATTTTTTCTGCTGAACTTTGCCAAATTAACTTTGAAGCGGTGCTGCCTAGCTATATGCTCGACATATTTTCTTTCTGAATTAAATTATACAGGAATTGAATACTAAGAAAGTTGTAGTCTATATTTAAAAGTATGGAATTCACGTTTGATTTTGAGGTTTCACTGAAGAATGGCATAGAACAGTAATTATTTATTTTTTATATTAGTTTTTTCCATTTATTTATATTTTGGGTTTGCATGAAATTAGCTCAGTTTAGAAAGCAAGTTAATATATCCATGAAAGAAGCAATTATTATAGACTTTGCTTTTATAAATGACTTTATATTGTGACATCTGAGGGTTCATGTTTCTATGCAATTCACTCATTATACAATTTCTACTACATCAAATACGGTTATTTTTATGGAAGTATTTTCGATCTATTTTTGCATACATGAAACATCCAACATGGGAAATACAATTATCTATAGTAAGTATTCATTGAACCTTTTTATTAAACACGGCTGCTTACGACTGTCATCGCGTGGAATAGATGTATTTTGCTGATTTCGTGTCTGTTGATAACAATTAACTTTCATTTTCATCTTTGTATTGTTTGCGCATGCGTTTAATTTTATCTCGGTCATTGTTTAATAGTCGGATTTGTATTATTATGCGTATCATATTACCGGCTCTTTTATTTACACTGCGCATGTGCAGCGGCTCTATCCCGGCTCCCTAACATGCATTGTACATGTATATGGGCTCATCTTCGGCTCATTTACATGTACTGCGCATGAGCATCAGCTCGGACACGGTGACTGCACATGCGCGCTATCGGCTCGAAACGCCCAAAATCAGTTACGAGCAGTCGTCTTCTAGATTTTCTTATGAGCAAAAGCATTGTTTCATCTCTCTTTAAAAAATATTCTTAAATAATTAAATTTCTGAATTTGAGGTAAAGTTAATCAAATTATATCACATTTAAATAGTTTAGATCTTTGCGTAAATTTTTATGTCCAGCTTTTTGGGACATTTATTCCAAAATATTCAACTTTTAAACTTTGTTTTTATTTCGAGGTCTGACAGTCCGCGTAGTAGTCAAACTTTAAATATTATTGATAAATTGTTGCACCTTTTAATTCTTAATATAATTGTTACTTAAATAAATTATTTGAACTGTTTATCGATAGTGTAATTATTGTGTTAAACTACGACTCTCCAGCCGGTGACATTTATTTTTAGTCACCGTCATCAACCATAGAGACAAGACTTTGTGTCTTCGTCTGAATTTCTACATCAACAATCATCACTCGAGATTATAGAACAACACAGAGAACAACATAAACATCATACTTGATTAGAATAAGTCCGCTACCATTTAGAGAGATTTTCCCCGCCCGTTTTTATAAACCGTCTAGTGACGGCCGACGCGAGTACAGCATCTACAAAACCCCCTAAAAAATATATAAATTCAACAAACTAAGTAAAAAGTAGAATCTACAACTAACATACGAACTAGAGCCCCGTGCTCGCGTCGCAATATTTCCTTTACATTATAAGAATCTCTTAATGTAGTCTTATGAATAATGTATGTGTTCGCTTAAAAGATAAAGTTTGACAATGTAAAGATATTCTCCACGTACAGTTTACATTCAAGATTGTTATATCGATTTAAATGTTTTACAGTTTTTAAGTTCATGTTTATTTGTCTAGATAGTTTTTTTTTACTTATTGAATGTATGTACTAAAATTGAGAAAAATGGAATCCCTCAAGGAAGTCCAAAACAGGCAAAATTGAAAATGTTGCAGGCTCGGTTTGATTGAGCCTATTCATGGACAGTACTGAAAAGTGCACGCTACTATCCACGCACCTTTAGCACCGGCTTAAGCAGTATTCAACATTTAAAAATGCTATGGTAAAATTTTGAATTTAGAAACATCCGCAGATGTGTTCATACGGCGGTTATCATAAAACATTCAGTGCAAAAACATTAAATACTGATATGAAAATCAAAACAGATGACGAAACATGAGTAACAAGACATTACTAGATTGACGTGTATTATTACATATCTTCTGAAATAGAAACTAATGAAATAAAAGGGAAACCTTCTTGAACGCCCAGAACGACAAAGTTTCAGTAAAATGATAACTGAAAACGGATAACTAATGGTAAATGCAGTCTTCCATCCATGCACCATAGCTACCGCTTTTAAAAGCAAACATGGACTTCTGGTTTTATTTAGCGTGTTGATATCCGTTTGACATGACTTGATAAAAGAATGACATTTGTTTAATTTGTCGTTTTTGGTGGGAAGGTAGGTTGGTCAATAGGTAGATGGTTTTGTGCGTTACTTAAATATGTTTATTAGGCCTACATGTGTATGGAGGGCGTTCGTTGCCAAAATTCCAGACATGTAAAGTGTTCCTTTTTAAAATGACTTTTGAAAATGCGAACTTGTACGCCTACCTTTTTTATTGTATGCCTCTTAATTCAATCTTTTAATTGAAGGTTTCCGCCTTTATATAACAAGTTTACATATATATCGTAACAACTGACCTAACATCTAAAACGACAACAAATTTACAAGTTCGTATCTTCCATTGCATGCAATACATACGCATGTTTGCACACTTATAGATCTGTAATATACAAATGAAATGTAAAACTGGAATACGGAAAATAGAGTTTAAGAAAACGTGTTACCAGTTGTAGAACTACAAGAGTACGTTAACACAGTAACATGTTTAAAATGACAAAAGTAGATTCACAAAGTTAAACGATTTTAAGTCAAGCATAACGCCCCGCCCCTCTCGGAGTATTTACGACCTTCTATTGCGGACAGGTATAAAACGGCGCCTCTCCCATATTTTTAAATAAAACTGAAGGACAACATACGGCATTTTTCATAACATATATATGTTGCATTTGTTACAAAAGTTTTGTCACTAGCAACATCACTTGAAAATTGCTGATTTTACCATTTATGATGAAGATAACTTGTGCATTACCTTATTATTTAACATCGTGTTCTTATCAGTTACAAATTATTTATCATTTTAGTGATTAGCCTGTCCGTGCTATGCCTAGTGCCCTGTCCTGTGTTTTGTTTGGGGTCCGCCTGGGCTTCTTGCCACTTGTTCTTGTTGCTGGGTCATGTAGGGTTGCGTTCATTGAGCGCCGCCTTTCCTTGTTGATCTTGTTTATCATATATTCCTGAGAAACATCGGCGATTTGGAAATTTTTAGGGGAAACAATGACCAACTTCAAGGGAGTAATTTTATTGATAATGTAAAAACCATCCGATATTCTTATTGGTATCATTGAAAAATGTATTGGCACAAATTTCACTTTCAACAAAAACTATGCAAGTATTTGCAAAAATAGGATTTTAAAGCGGCCACCGAGATTTCCTTTCCGAAATCAAGAAAATACTTATCCGTAGCACATATGTACAATCTTTAATAAGGTATTTTCAGTATGAATAAAAACTTTTTGCACTTGTTCATTATCCCTCATGTACAGACTCAATCAAACCGAGTCTGCAATTCTTATGTAATTTTGTAGTGATTAATGCTTCCGAGGGATCATTTTGTTTTCAGATTTTAATACTTCACAACAGCAGGTGCCAAGTGCCGTGTGGCAGTTGTAAAAAGTTGCCCCGTACTTCACTTCAGTGTTTTTCTGGTCCTTCGGGATCATTGATGCCAGCGCTATTAAGTGTTGAGAATTGAGTACCGTTCAAGCCGGTGCTAGGGGGCGTGAGGGATGTTGCACTTGTTCATTATCCCTCATGTGCAGACTCAATCAAACCGAATCTGCAATTCTTATGTAATTTTCCGCCGCCTTTCCTTGATGATCGTGTTTATTATTAAAATTGACCAAGAAATAAAAAAAAGTAAGTATAGGGGGCGCCATGTTTCTGAATTTCAGAGTGTGTTTTTTTTTTACTTGGGGATCATATGCCGTTTTTCATGGTATGGCACTTACGTGTCACATTGAAGGTTCCATGATAAACGCCATATTAAATCATCTGCGGATGTTTCAAAATTGTACCAGTTCATGTTGAATTTTGCTTAAACCGGTGCTAGGGGGCATGGACGATAACTTGCTCTTTCCATTACCGTCCATGAGCAGGCTCAATCAAACCGGGCCTGCAACATTCTCAATTTTGTCGTTTTGAGCGTTCTTTAGGGATTCTTATTTTCTCTATTTTACAAAAAGTAACATGATAAACTTTTTAACGAAAGTTAATTCAGTTTGATTTAATTCATTTTTATTTTTAGGCATTATATAATTATATATCATAAATCGTATGAAGCACACTTTTA